TTCTACAACAACAATAGGGGCAGCCAAAACCACTACAACAACAACTTTCGTGGGTATGATGAATATGAGGGCAAGTGTCAAATTTGTAAGAAAACTAATCACATAGCAAAAGAATGCAAGTGGCAATATGCTGAAGATAACTCACGAAAGAAGAAAATTGCTGTTGCGGCAAACACAAGCTATGGTGTAGATTCAAATTGGTATGTTGATTCTGTAGCCACCGACCACATCACTCATGAGCTAGAGAAGGTCACCATGCATGAAAGATACAACGGGCATGATCAAGTCCATAATGCTGATGGTTCAGGTATTGAGATAGGCAATATTGGTTATTCCATTATTCATTCCCCGCATAGAGATATACATCTTAACAATATTCATCATTGTCCTAGTTCATTGAAAAACCTTCTCTCTGTACATCATATTGCTCTTGACAATCATGTTTTTCTAGAGTTTCACCCATTCTTTTTCTTGATCAAGGATCAGGTCACGAAGCAAATCCTTTATCGAGGTAGATGCGTGGATGGACTCTACCCTTTGATTCCCAAAGTTAGCAGATTTAATAGACAAGTGTGTAGTGCCATTAGACTCTCTATAGAGAGATGGCATGTCGGTTTGGGCCATCCTTCTTTTTATATTGTCAAGCAAATTCTTAGCAAAAATAATCTCTCAGTTGTTGGAGAGCATAACTCTGAAACAGTGTGTGATTCTTGCCAAAGAGCTAAAAGTCATCAGTTGCCATATCCTGTCTCAACTAGTGTGTCTACTAAACCTTTACAAATCATATTCTCTGATGTATGGGGTCCTGCTCCTCTTTCTGTTGGTAGACATGCTTATTATGTCAGCTTCATCGATGACTTTAGCAAATATACGTGGATATACCTTCTTAAGAAAAGATGTGATGTGTTCCAAGTTTCCCAAAACTTTCAAGCACTTGTTGAAAGACAATTTAATAGCAAAATTCTTGTCGTTCAATCCGACTGGGGTGGTGAGTACGAAAAACTCAACTCCTTTTTTCAAAGGTTGGGAATATCTCACCATGTCTCCTGCCCCCACACTCACCAGCAAAATGGCTCGGCAGAGCGCAAACACAGACACATTGTTGAGGTAGGGCTTGCTTTGCTTGCCGTTGTGTCCATGCCACTAAAGTTTTGGGATGAAGCCTTTCTCACAGTTGTGCATCTTATTAATATTCTACCCAGCCGTGTCATCAAAAATGTAACTCCCACTGAGCGTCTTTTGCATGTCAAACCAGATTACGCACCACTTCGTGTATTTGGGTGTGCATGTTGGCCCAACCTCCGTCCATACAACAATCATAAACTCATGTTTCGTTCGAAACAGTGTGTTTTTCTTGGCCATAGTCCACAACATAAAGGAGTTAAGTGCTTAGATGTCTCTATCGGTCGAGTGTATATCTCCCAGGATGTTATGTTTGACGAAACCCAGTTTCCCTTTGCCACACTCCATCCCAATGCCGGTGCCCTTCTTCGCAAAGAAATTCTTCTTTTGCCCTCGAATCTCTCCAATGGTGCAAATGGGGAAGAAAATAATTGTGATGATCAATATTTGCCTAACCCTCCTAACTTTATACCTGAGCTTTGTGTTTCAGCAATAAACAGTGAAAGAAACAATGCAAATGGTGTTCAAACTGGTGCTACAGTGCAGCATTTTATGTGCACGGAATCCCCTGGAGGATCCTCCTCGGGATTGCCCCCCTCTGCCATGCAATCTGCCTTGGGATCCATCCAGGCGCCCGCTGTCGACGTCCCGCCTGCAACGCCCAGCTGGGCCACCGCCTGGCTTCCCCGCCTCTCCACGCGCGACCAGCTGGGCCACCGCCTGGCTTCCCCGCCTCTCCACGCGCGTGCCGGCCCAGCCAACCTGAGGGCTCCACGTGCCGCCCCCCTGCGCCTGGGCCCTCCACTCCTGCGGTCTCCCCCGATCGTGAGACAGCCGCGCCAGATCGCGATGTGGGCCTGGTCGCCCCACCTCGTCCCGAGGCGTCTTCGGGATCGGGAGCCGTTAGCGCGCCAGGATCTCCCTCGGGATCTGCTGCAGCTGATCCTCCTCAGGTGCCCGGATCTTCTGTGGCTCCCTCTCCTGGAGTCCGTTCTACACGAACCAGGTTGCAACAGGGAGTTATTAACAGAATTTGTTACAAAAATATTTCCAAGTATGGTCTCACGTGTTTGACAGGGGAATCCAGTGAATCAAAGTCGCTCACTGCTGCTCTTGGGGACACTAGATGGAAACAAGCAATGGAGGAAGAAATACTTGCGTTGCAACGTAACAAGACATGGCATTTAGTTCCTCATCGTCAAGGTATAAATCTTATTGATTGCAAATGGGTCTATCGAGTTAAGAGAAAATCCGATGGCACTATTGACCGCTACAAAGCCCACTTAGTTGCAAAGGGGTTCAAGCAACGGTATGGTATTGACTATGAGGACACGTTTAGTCCAGTTGTCAAAGCAGCAACTATTTGTCTTGTGCTCTCTATTGCTGTTTCCAGGGGATGGAGTCTTCGCCAGCTAGACGTACAGAACGCGTTTCTTCATGGTATTCTGGAAGAAGAGGTGTACATGAAACAACCTCCTGGGTTTGCAGATCCAAATGCACCTTTCCATGTTTGTAAGCTTGACAAGGCTCTGTATGGACTCAAGCAAGCCCCCAGAGCTTGGTATTCCCGGTTGAGTATGAAGTTGCCAGCACTTGGGTTTGTTCCATCAAAGTCTGACACTTCTCTGTTTATTTACAACAAGTTTCAAACTGCCATCTTTGTTCTCATTTATGTTGATGATATAATTGTGACTAGCTCGTCCAATGAAGCAATTACAGCCTTACTCAGTGATCTTCGGTCAGAATTTGCTCTCAAAGATTTGGGAGACTTACATTATTTCCTAGGCATTGAAGTTAAGAAAACTGATCATGGCATTCATCTTTCTCAAGGCAAATATGTCATTGACTTGTTCAGCAGAGTTGGCATGCAGGATTGTAAACCATCACCGACTCCTTTGTCGAGTTCAGAAACACTATCTCTCACAGAGGGGACACTCCTGAATCAGGATGACAGCACCAGTTACAGAAGTATAGTTGGTGCGCTTCAATACTTAACACTTACTCGTCCTAACATCTCATTTGCAGTCAACAAGGTTTGCCAGTTCTTGCATGCACCTACCACAGCTCACTGGACAGCAGCAAAACGCATCTTGCGGTATGTCAAGAACACTGTCAGTATGAGCCTTTCCATCAACCGATCATCTTCCATGGGCATCAGTGCCTTCTCTGATGCGGATTGGGCTGGCTGCTTGGATGATAGAAGGTCCACTGGGGGATTTGCAATCTTTCATGGCCCAAACTCAGTCTCTTGGTGTGCAAAGAAACAAGCCACTGTCTCCAGGTCTAGCATTGAAGCAGAATACAAAGCACTGGCAAACGCTACAGCTGAAGTCATTTGGATCCAAGCAATACTGAAAGAGTTGGGAATATTAAGAACTCCAACACCTTGTCTTTGGTGTGATAACCTTGGAGCAACTTATTTGTCTGCTAATCCAGTTTTCCATGCCAGGACCAAACACATCGAGATAGATTTTTACTTTGTCAGGGAACGAGTTGCCAACAAAGAATTAGAGATCAGGTTCATTTCTTCCAAGGACCAAATTGCAGATGGGTTTACAAAGGCGCTACCAACTAGAAGCTTTGAAGTTTTTCGGCGTAATCTCAACCTAGTTCGGTTTTGATTATGGGGGAGTGTTAAACATCATGGCACGTTTATTATGTGACATATGCGCCATGTTTATCTTAGGTAGTTAGAGATAGAGTTTGTTTTAATTCTCTCTTATCTTTCTATCTCTTCTCCCTATTGTATCTCTCGATCGTTAGCTCACGATCGCATCCTGTAATGTCACGAGACGCCTCTCGCCATATATCAATATATAACATGCGGCTCTCCCTGTATGGAGAGGAGGAACGCTTCCACAACTTTTCACACTTGCCACATGCCCCTTCTCAAGGCAAGTGTGGCATGATATGCTTGCCTGGCTGAGGATGACGTGCAGGCCACCTGACCGGGACGTACGCTTCCATCTCCGACTGGTGGCATGCTGCCAAGGCGGTAACCCCCAAGCCACTTCGCAAGGGGCTGGCATCCGCAACGCTTGTGTCTTCGAAGGGGATCAGCAATCAGTCCACCAACTAACAGAGCACATCAAAGCAGAGGCCGCATTATGGGCTCGGGCTTCAAGCCTTCGATTGGTGATCCCCAGCACCTGGGATGTACACTAAGATCATTGTAACATAACCTGCAAATCACCTCCTAGGAGGCATGTAAACTGCTCCCCCACTTTTCGATGAAAAGAAACGCAAAGTCTTTGCGTTTTCTCCAAAAACTTGTATGAATCTATGGGAAGTTCCAGCGTGCTATCACCATTTTTTTCTTCTTCTTAAAAGCTTCGTACAGCTCTATCATAAGGCCTTTTCGCTTTACTCATGGCCACAGTTCTTCCTGGTATATATGTGCACTTGTGCAGGTGAGGAATTAAGGACTCTAAACACCCAAGGCAAGGCAGCACAACTAAAAACACGATCAATAGCTCTCAGGAAAAAACCCACTAAATTTTCCATTTGCACGATCCATTTGTCTAAAATGAATGCAGGACCATTAACTCATTGTCAAAACCACTGCAAAATGTATGATCTCAAAATATTGCAGGATTGTCAACTCATTGCAATAAACCCTACAGTGAAATGCGAAGCACACCAGAAATCACATCTCAGAGATGAAATGCAAGGACCTACAAATTGTTCAGCCATTGGAAGCAACACCATAAGCAGTTCTGAATCCAGAACGGAGCATGTTTTGCAAGCAGAAGAAACGAAAGAGTTTTCTCAACCTATATCTATCTATCTATGCAAAAGTAGGCGTCCAGTTCTGCTGTCGTCGAGGCGGCGAAACTTGTGGACGGGTGTACTTTCAGGGCTCCTGCTCCGATCTTTCTCTACTCCGCGTTGACATCTGGGTGTCGCAGCCCATTGTAGGCTGAATTAGCAGAAATTATGAGCCAATTAGGTGGCAGACCAACAATCAATAACAACATCAAGAAGAAAAAAACACTGAAACAATATAATGTGCAAGGAACTAAAGATTTTATGCACTATTGTAAGATACTACCTGAATTTTATTCACAGGTTAGAAAATAAGTATCTTCTCTGCAAAGGTAAAATGAGATGACTGAACTTGATTTGGCTTTTCAGCTACCATAATCTATACTATGAAATCGATGAACTGGATTATCTGAATCAAGGGCAGAAATGTGCAACTAGCTTTGATAAATTAACATGGCATCTACTATTTTCATCCAACTACTTTTACCTTTCTCCAAGTCATAACAAAACGAATCATAATATCCTTTTTCCAAGCACGATCAGATTAGAAAATAAAAAGAATAACAAGACCAAGATTGCAGCTCATGTACAAAACCTGAATAAAGCTCAGGTGCAGAAACGAGATTTATTTAGTATTGCTGGCTAAACCTGAGGTGCAATTTCAAGTTCCATAATGATTTATGTCCCCAATAACATTCATATTTTACTTATCTACAAGATTACAGCAGTTGCAGACAATTCCCAACACCTAGCAGTTTCAGACTTCAACAGATTCAGTTAACTATTTTTCAGACTACAACAATTTCAGTGAACTGTTTTAACACCTAACAGTTTCAGACTTCAACAGATTCAGACTAGAGCAATTTCAGTAACAGCTTCAGTAAGACAAGTAAGACAAGTAGATTCAGACTAGAACAATTTCGGTTTTCAGTTAGGAGATACAGTACATGGAGAGAGGCTCTGACTCACCAGGGGTCTCGGCCCGGATGAGGACAATCTCGAGGGTCTCGCCATAGCCGCCGTCGGGCAGGTCGACGACGAGCGGGGTCAGCCTCCCGTAGCGACCCGCTCGGACGCACATGGCGATGTTCCGGTAGTACACGCCGGCGCCGACGAGGAACCGCAGGTCGTTCCTCAGGCGAAACGCGGACCTCCCCCGGAACCAGAACTGGCGCCAGGCTTCGTGCTCGGGGTCGTCGGGGAAGTGCCCGTTGTCGAGCGCTCGCACGAACCGGATCAGCCGTGCCGGCTCCAGGTGGATGACCCCGAGGAGGTATCCGTATGGGGGATTCTGCAGTTGAATCACGAAGATGGTTATGTTCAGGAGATCAAGAACTGCTCCAAATCAAATTTCGCAAGAACAGAATGAACTATACGTCTACGGTTCAAGAGGAATTCGCTGAATCGCCGAAAGCAATTCACGAAGATGAGGTATCAAGAAGCGGGTCGGTCATGGCCAACTCACCGGAGGCGGGGCAGGAAGGGCAGGCATGTCCTCTCTGGCGGGGATGGGCTCGACGACCCAGTACATCATGGAGCTGACGCTGTTGTCGACGCTGACGCCGGCGTTCCAGCGGAGGAACCTGCCGTTGGCGCGGAGGTAGCGGCCGCCGACGTTGCGGAGCAGGACGACGTCGTCCCCGAAGCCCGAATCCACGGCTTGCCACATGAAGGCCTCCACGCCCGGCTGGTCGTAGTCGCGCAGCTCCGCGCGGAGGCCCCGGTGGCCGAGCCTCGCCGGCGTGGCCGTGGCGGCGAGGTAGCGGCCGTAGGCGGCGCTGTGGAGGAGCAGACGCGGGCCGCCGAAGTAGTCGCAGCCGACAGCATCGTCGTCTCCGCCGTTGTAGATGTGCACCGCCCACGCCGCGTTCAGGGATCCGTGGACCTGGTTGAGGGTGACGCTCTCCCCGTCGTCGGCGGCGTGGAGGTAGGTGCGGTGCACTAGGCTCCGCAGCCGCACGTGGTGCCCGTCCTGGAAGCGGTCCATCGTCGCCGGCGCTGGAGATCAGAGGCGCGCGGTGGCGGTGGAGGGAGGGCGAGGGATTCTTGGTTTGCTGGGCACTCCGGCGAGGAAAGCTGTTGGTTGCGGTGGTTAGGCGGAGGTATTTCAAAGGTGCCGCCGTCCCGGGCTTCGAGTGCGAGGTGGGCTTCCGGGCCCAGCCCACATTACCGAGCGCCGTCTGTCTCTCTATTCCTCCTCCTCCCGCAAGGAGCCCCTTTCCTATTTTGTGGTGGTGTGCTCGTGTTTTTTCTTTAACATGAAAGTTTTTTATTTAATGGATTCACACTTGACCTGGAAATAACATCTCTATCAGGGCAAAGACCTGTGTCTGAAGAAAGACACCTAACAACTACTTCCTCCGTCCCATAATGTAAGACGTTTTTCGACACTAAAGATGGTTTTTTAACACTAGTGTAGTGTCGAAAAACGTCTTACATTATGGAACGGAGGGAGTAGATGCCTATTATGAATTTTGAGAGCTAGCTTTGCCTGATGGTGTGCCTTCACATTTAAAAACCTGTTGACATGAGCTATCCTGCTACAATGGAAAGTCTGGGATTCCTGAATAGCTCTAAGTGTGGGTCTGATGCTTCAATGACCTGTATCCTTAAAGATGGAATTTGCCTTTGACACCAAGACAGAGCAGTCTGAATAGAAGCGTGGTTCCTGAATATGAAGTACTTCAGCAAGCACGGTAGCAAGATGCAAGCCGAACACTTCAACGAAAGGGAGAGGACGTTGGTAGAGACAAAGCAGAGACATGCAATTGTTGACAATGTTGATTGTCTCCAGTTTGGATGATGATGCCAACGCCCGCCAGAGATGATTGGACATCTTCATCATTTTTCCAGGCCGCATCACAGAAGATGGCATTACCTGCAGGTCGAAAAATATCTTATTGTGGCACAATCAGCTGGTTAATTTGCAGAGCAAATGGAGCGTTGTTTCTGTGGAGTCGTGATATCTTCGAGCTTAGAGCCCTGCATAATAACATTAGCTACAGGGAACACTTGTGATGGTTTGCAAAATTTTCTACCAAATAGAGCATGATTTCTTGCCCTTCAAAATACACCACAAAAAAGTGTATAAACTAGTGATATTGATATGTGGATGAGCATAAGTGAGCAAAGCCTGAATTATTTAAGGAATTGAATGATGATAATTGGCGATGACCTCCGTTCTGATGAACCATGGAGAGGAGAACCAAGCAGCTTTAAAGAAAGGGCATGGAAAAAACATGTGCATTTCATCCTCTAAAGTACCACATCTAGCACACTCTTCCACAATGTGTTTCGAGAACTTACTTGCTCGTTTACCAGTGGGAAGAGTTCGACGAAGAAGCTTCCAAGCAAAAGTTTGAACTCTTGGCACAATCTGTTTTTCTTTCCATATCTGATTAAGAAGATCAAAAATCTATTGGAGAACTGTTTCGTTCTCTGGTTAGCTGGAGCAAGATTATTGAAACAATATTTGTAGTCACTTTTTGAAGAGCAATCACTTGCAGGAGTTAGTTTCCGAACAAGAGCATCCTGCCCCAAAGAATTAATAATAGGAGTTTGCAAAATAGTATTGGCTCTTTTTTGTTAGTCTGGTGTCTCTTAAGGGCATCTCCAAAGCGGACCATGGTGTGCTCCAGCCCTGTTTAGACATCCAACGCGGATTTCTATCGCTCCGCCGCCCGGTCCGGACGCACTTTTTCCCGCAAAGTCAAAACAAATTTGGGGGCTTTATAGTACTTCAGATAGCAGCCACGTAGGACTTCGACACCTTCGACCCACCCAAAATCCCTCCCGGATCCCGCACGTCCATTATCCCATATGTCTCTGCAACCATTTCCTCTCTTGCCTCCGCCGCCGCTTCACCACCCTGGACACCCCGCCACGCCCTTGCCGGAACTCGACAACTCCGTCTCCTCCGGCGCTACACCCGAGCTCCAGGCCGCTTCTCCTCCGCAATTGTTCCATGCCTCTCCTCCGTCCGCTGCACAGGTACCATCCACCCCTACGGTAGTCACCATGCCCAACAGTTGTTTAGTGAAATGCTTGTGCTAATTTTTTTGTCCCTTCTTTGAAGCAACTGATTCGGATATGGAGTACATATACCAGCACTTTGTTGAGTCGTCCGACAAGGAGGACTACATGGATGAGACGGTGATAATGCGGGTGGTCCTTGCAGACGCGGAGCATGCGAAAGAGCATGTTCTCAATTTCAAGGGATCAGCCAAGACCCATCGAGTGCTCAACCGCTACGGGGCACGTGACCATTTTGACGCTGATGGACGACTACCTTGCCCCCGATGCCCTATTCGCTAACAATTCTTGCCGCCGCTTACGGATGCGAAATAATGTTTTTGATCGTCTTTACCATGGCGTCCGTTCCTTTGATGACTACTTTACCTTCCAGCCCTCGACACGGCAGCGTCCACAATTGATTTTTGCATGTCCCTCTAGTGGAGGTAGCCAATGTGGTGGCCTTGGCGTTGGAGCCCCAACTCCCGTGGATTCCGCAAGGGTTACCCCTTAATATATATATGAGTATTTTGTTTGGGAATGGGTTATCTCTTAATTAATTAGTTGCTCTCGCTACATATGCGTCGATAATTTTTATTTTTTTGAGAAACCTATACGCCGAATAAGATCTGCCTTGTTTTTTTTTTTTTTGAGAAAGTTCCCCACTGTTATATTCAACTGACAACGTTTTGTGCCATACAAATGAACTCTGGGGATCTAAGAGCCACACATGGCACCCCAAGGTAAGGGAAACTGAAGCTTTAGCTAAATTATGAGCCTCCCAATTGTGCCAGGAATTAAGGACACTAAACACACAAGGCAGCACAACTAAAAGCACAATCAATACCTCTGAGGAAAAACCCACTAAATTTTCCATTGTACGCAAAATGCATAGGTCTAAAAATGAATGCAGGGCTATCAACTCATTGTCAAAACCACTGCATTTTCCAGTGATGCAGAATGCATGATCTACAAATATCGCAGAATCGTCGACTCATTGCAATAACCCCTACAGTGAACTGCTTCGTCTATGAAGCACACCAGAAATCACATCTCAGAATTACAAAATTGTTCAGCCATTGGACGCAACACTCTCAGCAGTTCTGAAGCTAGCAGAAGAAACAGAGAGTTTTCTGAACCTATATCTATCTATCCATAGGCAAAAGTAGGCGCCCCGTTCTGCTGTCGTCGAGGCAGCAGCACTTGTGGACATGTGAACATCCAGACCCACGCTCTGATAATTCTCAACTCCGCGTTGACATCTGGGTGTCGCCGCTCATTGTAGGCTGAATTAGCAGAAATGATGAGCCAATTAGGCAGCAGACCAACAATTAATAACAAGACCAAGAAGGAAAAAAGAGTTGAAACAATATAATGTGCAAGGAACTAAAGATTTTATGTACTATTGTAAGATACTAGCTGAATTGTATTCACAGGTTAGAGAATTAGTATCTTCTCTGCAAAGGTGAAATGAGATGACTGAACTCGATTTGGCTTTTTAGCTTCCATAAGTTTATTTGAATTATCTGAATCAAGGACAGAAATGTGCAACTAGTTTGATCCAACTACTTTTACCTTTCTACAGGACAACAATAGTTTCGTAACAAAACGAATCATAATATCCCTTTTCCAAGCACGGTCAGGTTAGCACTCGACGAAGCAAGAGCCCAAATATCATGTTCATGCAGCAAAAATAGATTCAAGAACAACAGTACATTTCTGAACAATTTAAATCTCAAAGTCTTGCAAATAAAAAGAATAACAAGACCAAGGTTGCAGCTCGTGTACAAAACCTGAATAGAGCTCATGTGCAGAAACGAGATTTATTTAATATTGTTGGAACCTGAATTTCGTGAGTAAAATGGGCTAAATCAAACGGTTATCACCATCTTCTCTGTTAAGGCTGAAAGGAGGTGAATCAAAGAAGCTGTTTCAATTTCAGATCAACTTGTACAAGATTTCAACAGTTGCAGATACCTAACAGTTTCAGACTTCAACAGATTCAGTTAACTGTTGTCAGACTAGAACAATTTCAGTAACCTTTTTGTCAGACTGTAACAGCTTCAGTAAGACAAGTAGATTAGCACCCCCACTAAAGTAAACCCAAATAAGCATCTGCACCAAAATCTGAACAAAGACTATCATCAAATTTGTATGAACCTGTGGGAAGTTCCAGTGTGCTATCATCATTTTCTAAAAGCTTTATACAATTCTATCGTAAGGCCTTTTCGCTTTACTCATGGCCTCATTTCTTCCTGGTACATGCAGGCCGGAAATTAAGAACTTTAAACACACAAGGAAGTATAAGTAAAAAAACACTATCCATAGCTATCAGGAAAAATACTATCAAGGCAGAACAACTAAAAACACTAAAATTTTCCTTTTGTACACGAAATACATAGTCTAAAAAATGAATGCAGGACCGTTAGCTCATTGTCAAAGCGACAAAGCCACTGCATTTTCCAATGACGCTGAATGCATAATCTAAAAATGTTGCAAGATCATCTACGAAGCATACCAGAAATATCATCTCAGAGATGAATGTCAAAAGAGCGACACTGCAACGACCTACAAAATTGTTCAGCCATTGGGCACAACACTCAGCAGTTCTGAATCCAGAACGGAGCAAGTTCAGCTACCAGAAGAAACAGAGAGAGT